GCAAAATAATAATAACAATAATAATAATAATAATAATAATAATAACAACAACAACAACAACAACAACAACAATAATAATAATAGTAATAGAACCAGCTAGAATGTTCTGACTGGCAGTTATCAGGAAGCTGACAAGGCAGAAAGGCATTTCATCCCTCGCAGTGGGGCCACACAACTATTTCTCCTGACGGCAGGGGAGTCCGAGACAAGCCAGCACCTCGACCATGTGACCAAGATCCAGGCAAAAAGCTCACAACTCTTGCTAATCCCTGCTGGCTCTAGAAACCCTGACTGTTAATTCTCTGCTATGCCCCTGCGCAGTCAACTCCAGGTAAGGCAGAGTAGACCTGGTGTCCTCATGAGTCACTGGAAAGCCACTCCCCAATTCCTGTGAAGGACACATTGCTACAGACATCGGGATTCCAAGGATGTCTGGTAGGAAATCCCAGCGCTCTCAGCCATAATTTTCAAACTCTTTAGTTGCCATGGAAGAAAAAAAAAAAGATATTTTCTGTAAATTGGAACCGAACAATAAAAGAAGTTTTCTGATGCGAATAGCTCCTTAATCTGGTTATAACGTACAAAACCATTAAAGAACTCTGTAAAGAAATTTTGAATGATCGCTCTATATAGGCAAGTCATTTCTGTCAAACTTACACTTTGAAAAACCTGGCCAAAATAAAAACAATTTTAGGTTTTTAAAAGGCAATGTGGACAACATGTCCTTTGTTAACAGATGATTTTATTCAGTCAGCTGCCACAGTCACGTGCAGAAATAAAAAGCCCTTATGACGCTAAGGGTCAGGTTGCATTTCAATACTAGGAATGAGCCCTAAGATGTGAATTGGGTTCAGTTGACAGACTGCTCTGGAAACACCCTGTCCAGGTTGTAGAGTCAGTGTTAACTGTTCATTAAGGAAATAGGTCAAGCACGAGCCCTTCTCAGAACTGAAACACTATGAACCACATTTTCACCAAATCAACTTTCCAGGTACAAAAGCCGTTCTGTGAGTAGCATCTGATTAAAATTATCCAGCTTTCATTACTGATGACCACGTCAGACTAGATGCTGGCTTTACCATCGTTTACAAGTAACACCCACGTGAACACTAGGAACAGCCTTTGTTAAATGTCCAGAGAAACTACACACGTGTGTAAGTATACACACACGTCACCATCTTCATGCGAAATTTTGAGAGAAATACTTTCGGCTTCACTGACAGAAGCATATTTTCCCCGGGAGGAAGTGACAAGTCTGTGAAAGAAGAAGCCATTAGACTACAGGGAAGGAAGGAGGTCCCTTTTCTTCGGCTTTATTGAGAATACAGTTGATATGTAACATCGCAGAAGTTTACCGTGTACGATATGATGGCTTAATACACATATAAATTGTGAAGGGATTACCACACAGGTGGTTAACACACCCCTCGCCTCACACAACTGTCATTTTGTTGTGGTGGTGGTGAGAACATAGAAGGTCTACTCTCGGTAACTTTGGAGTCTACTATATGGCGCTGTTAACCAGAGTAGCGATGCTTCACATTAGATCCCCAGGATTCCCGGGGCTTCCACCTGCAAGTGTATGCCCTTAGGCCGCATCTCCTCGTTTCCCTCCCCTCCCAGCCCCTGGCAACTCCCAATCTCCTCACCATTTTTATCAGCAGCTTTTTTAGAGGCCACATATAAGTGAGATCATACAGTATTTCATTTAGACTTATTTCACACAAATAGCGGAATCTCCTTCTGCTTTTATGGCTAAATAATATTCCATTGTATATATGTACCTGTTTATCCATTTGTCCACCAATGGGAGGCTTAGGCTGTTTCCACATCTGGGCTGTTGTGCATGATGCTGCAATAACCATGCTGTTCCAGGCACGTCTTTGCAAGAGTGAGCCCATTTCCTTCGGGCATATGCCCAGAAGCGGGATGCTGGATCATATGGTAATTCACACATATGGTAATTCTCTTTTTAATTTTGTAGGAACCTCCATCCTGTCTTCCATAGTGGCTGCAACCAATTTACGTCCCCACCAATAGTACACAAAGGTTCCATTTTCAAGGGGCTCCTTTTTCATTTAAAAGCATTACGATGGCATTACGAAGAGAGAATGTCCATTACTTGATTTACCTTTTTACAGTGAACTTAATGATCTTTCAACGAAGCAGTTAAAGCCCCACAGAGAGAAGGCCTGGCCCATTGTGAGACTGAGCACAAACCACTAGCAATATGCGACACAGGACAAAGTAACCAGGAAGTGCAAAGACCCTAACCCCCCGCGGCGCACATGAGCAAAATGGCGCCTCTCTGCCTCCAAAGATCCTCTTACACAGCACTGCTTTCTATCCTTCAAAGAAAGTGGTTTTGAATTTTTCGATGTTAAAAACACAAGCACTACCCAGCACGAGACACCAGGAATCACTGCAAGCAACATATCAAAGAAATTAGAGGAATAAATATTTTAATTCCACATCTCCATGATGAAAAGAGAACAGAATACAATGACACAATAGAAACTGCAGCGAAAAAAATATCAGGAAGTATCCCTTCTGTGGTGGATTAAATCACTTTGAAAGAGTCCTTGGCCAAACAAACACGTAATAACAATAAGAAAGAAACAGGAATGATTCTTTGCTCCCATTTCTGATCACCAACTATAATTCTAGTACCAATTCTGACCTGGGGGGTGGGGGGTGGGGTGGATTGCAGGAGGGGGATGTTGACCGAACCACCTAGAGACTCCAGGTCACCAGCTGAGTGTTCTACAAGTCACCTTGATTTTGACATTATCTACCTGGGGATAGCGTCAGACTCCACAGGTCAAGGGCTCAGTCCGACAAAATTCCGGCCCTCTTCCCCCACTTAGGTGCCATTCACAAGCCCAGGCAGTCACCCACACTTCTGACCAACTGGCTACAGACTGGAGGTTCCAACGACCCCCTCCCTGCCTTGGTTCCATGAATTTGCTAGAGGGGCTCCCAGAACTCAGAAGCATTTTATTTACGAGATTACGGTTTTGTTACAAAAGATGTGACTCGGGAACATCCAGATGGAAGAGAAGCATGGGGCAAGGTGCGGGGAAACAGTGCTGCTCCCCACAAATCTCTGGGTGTTCACCAACCTGGGAGCTCTCCAAACACTGTCCCTTGGGTTTTACGGAGATTCATTACACAGGCACAATTGATCAAATCATTGGCCATGGATGGTTGATTCAACCTGCAGCCCCCTCCCCGCTCCCCAGAGAAAGGGGGAGGGACTGAAAGTTCCAAACCTCAAATCACAAGGTTAATTCCCCAGCCAACCAACCCTTCCCCCTCCTCCCCGCACCGGTCCTTAGGTGTGGTGGAAAAGCCACTTCATTAACATGGACAAAAGACACCTTTCTCTCAATAATTAGGAAACTGCAAAGGTTTTAGGACTCTGTCCTTGAAACTTGGGGACAAAGACCAAATCTATATTCTTATTATAAATCACAACATCTCCAACACAACAAACCCCTCAAGTTGTATTACAGACTCTTTACGGCTGGGAGGGATATTTGAAACTATTGTCTCTCTTACCTCCTCAGTCAGCAGATGAGAAACTGAGGCCCAGAGAGAACTTGGCAAGATCATCAGCTGGTGGGGGGGGGGGGGATGGGGGTGAATTGAATACGTATCTGGGCAATTCTGAAGTGAATGAGACCCTTCCTTGAAAAGGTTATTTCCATGATCACGCCTTCTCTGGGGGCACACGGGCACTTTCCCAAAGTAGTGAAATATTACAAATCTACACAAAAGGCATGTTATAAGGTGCTATTCACTCCCTGACCAAAGCCAGTGCGCTGGCAAAGGGGGTCCCTGGGTCCTGCTGTGCTCGCTGATACTTTTTTCCAAATCATCATCAAACACTCCAATAGCTTCTAAACAGGCAACGTGTTCTAGGCTATGCTAGAAGGGCTTGGACGGCAAGGCCTCTAGAAAAGCAGGCACGCGATACCTTCACGGGTCAAAATAAGTACCAGTAAATCTGAAAGGCTACTCGCCAGAGAGCACAAAGTGCTTTTTAAGATTCCTGTGAAATCACACTAGCCCACTGGGTGGAATCTTCCCCCTGCCCCAAATTAGGGAGCCGGGTCACTCTCTGCACGTGCACAGAAGGCCAGGACATGCCCAAGGAGCTCCAGCGTGCCTGCAACAAACAGGACTGGGAGCTGGGACCTGTACTGCCAGGCCAGGGGCGGGGTCACGCCTAGAGTGGCCTGCAAGCCACAAGGGCACCACCGTCACCACACTTTCAGATCACTCTCTGGTCCTGTTCTCATCAATAGCCTTCTGGTCTTCATTTGATTTCCCAAACAGACACCCATAACCAACTTGGAGAAACCTGACAAGCACCACTTTGGCCAGGTGGTCAAGGTTAGCATCGTGAGTGATACATCACGCCAATGGGAAGCACCCTTGACACGGAGTGATGGAAATGGCACTTCACCCCTGTTGGCTTCTCCCCAAAACCCATAACCCCAGAGTAAAGGGGGGTTCTATAATATACTTGACTAGGACTCCTCAAAACTATCAAGGTCGACAAAAACAAGAAAAGTCTGAGAAACTGTCACAGCCAAGAGGAGCGGAAGGAGACACGACTATGAAACACATTGAGGAATCCTGGACGGGATTCTAGAACAAAAAAAAAAAAAAAGAACATTGGGCAAAAACTAGGGAAATCTGCACACAGTGTGGACATTTAGTTAATAGGAATATATTGACTACTGTCTCATTAATCATCACACATACATCATGGTAATGTAATAATGTTAACAGAAGAAAGGTGGGGGTGTACTATCTCTATATGGGAACCCTGTACTATCTTTTCAATTTGTCTGTACATCTCAACTGCTCTAAAAAATAAAGTCCATTTTAAAGAAGGAGAGAACCAACTATGTATTTGAACCCACTGGACATCTGGGAGGTGCAGTCACCTGCCCTCCATTAGCCATGACATTGGAAACCAAGTTCCCTACCTTTCACTGAGGCTTCTCCACAACTGTGCACCTGCAACAAGGAGAGGCAAAGAATGAAACATTAATGGAGGCGTTTTTCTCTCGAAGCATTTCTCAACGCAGAAATCTTCTGAGCTATCAAAAATGCGTAGATGTTGGGACGCCTGGGTGGCTCAGTCGGTTAAGCGTCCGACTTCGGCTCAGGTCATGATCTCATAGCTCGTGAGTTCCAGCCCCACGTCGGGCTCTGTGCTGACAGCTCAGAGCCTGGAGCCTGTTTCAGATTCTCTGTTTCCCTCTCTCTCTGTCCCTCTCCTGCCTGTGCTCTGTCTCTCTCTCCCAAAAACAAACATTAAATTTTTATTTAAAATTAAAAAATAAAATAAAATAAAATAGAATGCTTAGATCTTTCAACTCTAGAAATTATCACACCATTCAGTATACACCTCTGGTACCAGAATTAATTCAGGCAATGTGTCCACGAGTATTTCAGAGCCTGCTATTTGTAAAACACTTGGATAGGTGCCTTGGGAGATGGAACCCTGTATCACACATGGTCCTGCCTCGGAGACTTGAGTGTTCAGTGGGGCAGACCTAGCATGCACTGAGGCGGTGTATGGAGGGAGAGAGAGAGAGTATGGCTGCTCGAGACAGTCCCAATAACAGAGGTGCCATTTACGGTGGGCTTTGAAATGGTACTGACAAAAGGAGAACTGAGACAACAGTGATTTGAGAAAGGAGCTTTTTATCTATTCATCCTTTAGGTATTTTGAGCTTATGTTGAGGCTCAAGTGAAATCAACAGAAAAAAAATGCATACTTGGATCTCATTTGCTTTTTAAAAAAATTTTTTAATGTTTATTTATTTTTGAGAGAGACAGACACAGAGTACGAGTGGGGGAGGAACAGAGAGAGAAGGAGACAGGGAATCCGAAGCAGGCTCCAGGCTCAGAGCTGTCAGCACAGAGCCTGACATGGGACTCAAACTTGTGAACCGTGAGATGATAACCTGAGCCAAAGTCGGATGCTCAACCGACTGAGCCACCCAGGAGCCCCTCTCATTTGCTTTCTTGATGGGCTTACTTTCTTCATTGCACTGTATCTTAATATTATACACCCAGCTACCAGTTTTAATGGATATTAGAAATGGCCATGAGGTGGTTTCTGCATTTTTCCATCTTTCCAAAGATGTTGTCCCTTTTGTTCTTCAGTATCCCCTATCAAAGATCTATTAGGGGTGCCTGGGTGGCTAAGAGTTGGTTAAGAGCAGGTGACTCTTGGTCTCAGCTCAGGTCTTGATTTCAGGGCTGTGAGTTCAAGTCCCACATTGGGCTCCATGCTGGGCATGGAGCCTACTTTGGACGGAAGGAAGGAAGGAAGGAAG